ACATGGCTTGGTACCTTATTCAACAAGGCAGTCACATCTTGCTTCTTCTGTGGTTGGATCACAACTGCAGACCAAGCTTTCCTCTTCCCAGAATTCTCCTGTTCTTATCACCCCACCTCTACTTCCTGCCTGGTTGTCCTGCCTATACTTTCTGCCTGGTTACTGGCCACTCAGTATTTATTAAAATACAATTGACAGGGTACAGACCATTGTCCCACAGCACTTCCCCCCTTTTCTGATGTAGGAGGTCCTTCTGCCTTTGTGCTGCTTTCACTGGTTAATAAAGAAACTGCTTTGGGCCTGTAGATAGGGCAGAACTTAGGTAGGCAGGGAAGACAGAACCAAATGCTGGGTGAAAGCAAGGAGGAGTCAGAGAGTCTGGCGGCTATGGAGCTGCCACCAGAGTCAGACATGCTGAATCTATGCCAGTAAGCCACTGCCGTGTGGTGATATACAGATTAATAGAAATGGGTTAGATCAAGATGTGAGAGTTAGCCAATAAGTGGCTGGAGCTAATAGGCCAAGCAGTGATTTAGTTAATACAGTTTCTATGTGGTTATTTCAGGGCTAAGCTAGCTGGCGAGGATGAACAAGCAGCCCCCTTGTTTCTACAGGGTAATTCTAACCAAACAAGTGAAAGACCTGTATGACAAGAACTTTAAGTCTTTGAAGGAAAAAAAAAAAACTGAAGAAGATATCATACAATGGAAAGATCTCCCAGTCTCTTGGATAGGTAGGATCAACATAGTGAAAATGGCAATCTTACTAAAAGTAATCTACAGATTCAGTACAATCCCCATCACAATCACAACACAATTCTTCACAGACCTCTAAAGAATACTCAACTTCATATGAAAAAACAACAACAAAAAAACCCAAGATAGCCAAAACAATCCTGTACAATAAAGGAACTTATAGAGGCATCGCCATCCCTGACATCAAGCTCTATTATATAAAGAGCTACATTAATGAAAACAGCTTGGCATTGACATAAAAATAGATAAGTAGACCAATGGAATCGAATCAAAGACCCTGATATTAATCCTCCACACCTATGAACACCTGAGTTTTGACAAAGAAGCCAAAATTATACAATGGAAAAAGGAAAGCATCTTCAACAAATGGTGTTGCATAACTGGATGCTGACATATAGAAGAATGCAAATAGACCCATATCTATCCCCATGCACAAAACTCAAGTATAGATGGATCAAAGACCTCGACATAAATCCAACCACACTGAACCTCAGAGAAGAGAAAGTGGGAAGTAGCCTTGAATGCAAAGGAGACCACTTTCTAAATATATCACCAGTAGCATAGACACTGAGATCGACAATTAATAAAGGAGACCTCCTAAAACTGATAAGCTTCTGTAAGGTGAAGGACAGAGTCAACAAAACAAAATGAGAGTCTACAAAATGGGAAAGTATCTTCACAAACCCCAAATCTGACAGAGGGCTGATCTCCAAAGCGTACAAAGAACTGAAGAAACTAGACATCAAAATAACCAAATAATCCAATTAAAAAACAGGGTACAGATCGAAATAGAATTCTCAACAGAGGAATATCAAATGGCCAAAAGGCACTTAAGGAACTGTTCAACACCCTTAGTTATCAAGGAAACACAAATCAAAACAACTCTGAGATACCATCTTACACCTGTCATAATGGCTAAGATCAAAAACACTGTTGACAGCTTATGCTAGAGAGGACGTGGAGTAAGGAGAAGACTTCGACACTGTTGGTGGGAGTGCTAACTTGTACAGCAGCTTTGGAAATCAGTATGGTGGTTTCTCAGACGACTGGGAATCAATCTACCTCAAGACCCAGCCATACCAATCTCGGGCATGTACCCAAAGGATGAACACTCATACCACAAGGACATTGGTTCAACTATGTTCATGGCAGCATTATTTGTAAAAGTCAGAACCTGGAAACAAACCAGCTGCCCCTCAACCAAAGAATGAATAAAGAAAATGTGGTACATTTACACAATGGAGTATTGCTCAGTGGTAAAAAACAATGACATCTTGAAATTTGCAGGCAAATGGATGAAACTAGGAAAAAAACAATCCTGAGTGAAATAACCCAGACCCAGAAAAACAAACACAGTATGTACTCATTCATAAGTAGATAATACACATAAAGCAAATGATAACCAGCCTACAGACGACAACCCCAGAGAAGCCAAGAAACAAGGAGGATCCTAAGAGAGACATACATAGATACCCCTGGAAAGGGGAAATAGACAAGATCTCCTGAGTAAATTCAAAGCATGGCAGGGAGAGGTTAGGATGGGAGTGGGGAACAGAATATGAGGGATTGGGAAAATTGAGTTGGGGGAAGTTCAGAAAGGGAGAGCAAGAAAAAAGATACCTTGAGAGAAAGCCATAATGGGGTTAGCAAGAAACCTAGCACTAGGGAAATTCCCAGGAGTCCACAAGTATGACCCCCAACTAAGAATCTAAGCAATTGTGGAGAGGGTGCCTTAACTGCCCTTCCCCTGTAATCAGATTGATGACTACCTTAACTGTCATCATAGAACCTTTATCTAGCAACTGATGGAAGCAGATGCAGAGATCCACAGCTAAGTTCCTGGAGTCCAGTTGTAAAGAGGGTCAAGCGATAAAATAAGCAAAGGGCTCAAGACCCTGATGGGAAACCCACAGACACAGCTGGCCCGAACTAGTGGAGGTTCACTGAGCCTGGATTGGCAGCTGGGGAACCTGCATAGGACAGAACTAGGCCCTCTAAATGTGGGTGACACCATTGTGTGTCTTGGGCAGTGGGGCCACTGGCAGAGGAACCAGTATTTATCCCTTTTGCAGGAAATACCTTTTGGAGCACATTCCCTATGGAGAAATAGGTTGCTCAACCTGGATGCAGGGAGTGGGACTTGGTCCTGCTTCAAGTGATGTTACAGACCGTGCTGACTCCGCACTGGGAGCCCTCACCCTCTCTGGCTCACAATTAAAGAAGATATAGAGGTTTCATGGAGGGAAAAGCTTGATAGCACCAGCATGGGGTGGATCTCATTACATCCGCAGTCAGGAAGCCAGACCAGGCTATAAGCCTCAAGGCCTGGACACTCTTCCCTACTCAGTCTGCTTCCTAAAGGGCCTAGTCTATCAAACAGCCGCATCTACTGTAAATTAAGTAAGCAAACACATGAGGCTGTGTGGAAATATTATACCATTCAAACCAATATTCCATCTCAAGTAGAGGGGCCAGTTAATGATAGTGACTGGCTTGGCCTTTAGTAGTCCTGAGAGTAGCACACCAACTCACACACACCTACTTCCTGTCTGCTTATACTTTAGGATTTCCCTGTCAGAATCTGAGGGGGAAAAAAAGCCAACTTTTAAAATTGAACTGCAAGGCTGAGGATGTGGCTCAGCTGGTACAAGGTCCTGGATTCCAATGTTGCATTACGCCTGGCTTGTTGCTACATTCCTGTAGTCCCAGCACTTGGGAAGTGGAGACAGGAAGATCAGAAGTTCCAGAATAGTGTAGGCTACATCAGAACTTAACTAAAAAAACAAAAACGCTCTGAACACTAAAATCAACTTTCAAAATGTTTTCTGTAGCAGGTAGAAAACAAACATGTCTTTCTTTCTGACTGACAAACCCAGATTTTCAAAAGTCAGAAATCACACTGTCCAGAGTTAGAGAAATCGCTTAGCAGTTATGAGTACACATTGTCCTTCCAGAGGACCCAAGTTCAGTTCCCAGCATCCACAAAAGCTATTGACAACTGCTTGTAATACCAGTTCCAGTAGATCCACACCGTCTTCTGGCCTCAGTAGGTACCCACACACACACTCAGCAAACACTCACACAGACATACATATTTATATGCATACATTAAAAAAGTTTTTAATTTAAAAAATAACAACAAAGAAATTACACTGTCTACAAAGACTAAACCACCTGAAGATAACACAAAGGAACTGAAGATATTAATATTTTCCCCAAGGACTATAATCCTGGTGGTGTTTTGTTTGGTTTTTGTTGTTGTTTATTTGTCTAGATTATATGAAACTGGGTCTCACTGTGTGGCTCTGAGATAGGCCTATCTCCACCTCTATTGAGATTGAAGAAACTCCTCCCACTCACAGTACATTTGGAGAAATAGCCTAGAGCTAGCTATACAACAGAAATAAAATTATGCACAGTCGGGGAAGAATCACCTATAATCCCAGAACTGTGGAAGATCTCAGTTCCAGACTAGTTTGGTCTACATAGCTAGTTGTGGTCAAGCCAACGCTACACTGTGAAATCCTGTATAAAAAAACAAAAAAGAATTACATAATCCTTTCACTCCCTGAGCTTTTTTCCAGAGCTACCAAGGCTGGAAAGGTTTTCCAAAATCTCACATTTCTGCCTCGGAAATGATCAGTACAAATAAATTAAATTTTGAAGTAACTTTAAATTTCTCTCCTTTCTCCAAGTTGGAGGATTTTGCCTACACAGAGTCAGTCACGGCTACATAAACCCAGCTTTATTCGCACAAAACAAACCCAGGACGAGGGGTGGAGGTACAAGCCTAGAGTGAGACCTAAGATCGCTAGCACCTAAAAAGAAAAGGTTTAAAGAGAAAAAAACAAAAAACAAAAACGGGTGACTACAGTGTAAAACTAAAGCAGGGAACAAGGAAACGAAAAAGTGCAGAACAGCGCTCACCACCCACGTGCCCTCGCCGCAGAGTCTGCACTCAGCGTCACTGACCCGCCAGAGCTGCAGTGTCTGCGGAGGCGCAGGTTCGCGGCGCAGCCTCATCACGGGAGCACTGCGAACCACGAATGCAGCAGGGAAGGGACAGACCTGGACTGGACGCCATACTCACGACTGCTGGTGCCTGCTTTCCACCATCCAAGCGCCACTGCCACACTGGGCTGCACAGTGCCAGACTCGGCTGCACAGCGCCAGGGAAACCGTACAAAGCCGCAGCAGTGTCACAACCCCGCCGCCCGCCACTCAAGGAGCCCGGGGCACACTCACCATGTCCTGCTTCGGATGCATCCAGGTGTTCCCCCCACCCCCGCCTAAGGAACCGGCAACCAGGACGGAAGCCCAGGAATAACTCTCCTCCCTTCGGCTACCCGGAACTCAAATATGGCGGCAAGGGTGCCACCGTCCACTATCCGTGCCCCTCATTGGTTAGCTCAGGGGAGTAACCGTATCGCTGATTGGTGAATAATTCCGAGCCCAACTCCTCAGAACTGAGTTAGCCCATCCAGCTACATTTACCAACCCAGTGGATCTTTAAGTGCAGATTGCAACATACAGCCCCGTCTCTCGAATAAACCTGGTTCAAACTAGAGGGTTCCACATTTAAGAACATGTCCCAGGTCGGGCGTGGTGGTGCACACTTTTAAAGCCAGCATTCGGTCAGCAGAGGAAGTCTCCAAGTCCCCTGCTACCTTTGTCTACAGAGTGAGTTCCAAGCCAGCCAGAACCATTTAGTAAGCCTGCTCCCCTCACACACGCTCACTCATCCAGGGATTTTTGAAGGACTTATTAGTTTTTATTTTTACTTATGTTTCTGAGTGGATGGATCCGTGTGTGCGCGCGTGAGACTTCACGGAGACCAGAAGAGGGCGTCAGATGCCGTCTCGATTTCCTTTGAGGCAGGGTTTTTTTCACTCATCAATTTGGCTCCAGCTCCGGTTTCCCTGACTAAACTGGAAGGGAGCCGGCTAGCCGCAGCGATCCTCTTATATGAGACGCCCTCACAGACAGAATCTCAGGGGTGTACAGGGGACCTCCAACTTGAGTGCTGGGATACGAACTCCAGTGCAACTCTCCAACCCCATCGTCTTGTGCTCAGTGGGGCCTTCCTGTTTTTCCACATACAAATAGTGTCACAACAGCCTTCTGGAGTAAATTCCATCTTAAATCGTTTGCTCCTCAATCAGAGTAAGCCAGAAAGAGACATGACATAGCAAACTAACACTGATTCTTTTAAATTCCTCTACGAAATAACTTTGATCATGTTCATTGATTGACATTTTAGAAATCCCTCCTCCTGATATTATCTTTCTCTTCCTTAATAAATTACCTTTTATCTTCATATCCTCTTCTATTTAGAGTCATCATATAAGGGCAAAATGTAATATCTGTTGACTTCCTCCAGTTCCATCATTTTTCTGCGAACAACATTCTTTGTGGATGAATAAGTCTTCACTGTCCATAATTATCACATTGTTTTATCCGTTTATTCATCCACTGTCATAGGCTGAGTACACCGCTTGGCTGTTGTACCTGGTGCTGCAATGAGCATGTGTGTGCAGGAATCTCGGTTACGCGGTGACATTTATTCTCGTGTGTATATATAGGAGGCTATAGATGGATAAAATAATAATTTGATTTTTAGTTTGGAGGTGGATGTTAAATGCCCCCCACAAAGTTCATGTGTTGAAGGGCATGATCCATAAGTGCTGTTTGGAGGTGATGGATGTGCCCTTGAAGCAAGTATTGGAACTCTAGCCCTCTCTTGAGGACCCAAGCATTAGCCTCTATCTCTCTACCTCCCTGCCACTGTGAGCTGAACAGCTTGGCTTTCTCCTTGGGCTTCCCACCGTGTCCCTCTGCTTTACCTAAGGCCTAAGCCAATGGGGCCAGCTGACAAGGACCTAAAACCATGGGCCAAAATAAGCCCCTCCTCCTTCTAAACTGTTTGTCCTGGGTATTTTGTTTAAGCAACTGAATTCTGACTAACATACATTTTACTTATTTATCTGAAGGTACATAGCACATTTATATTGAGATATAATGCCCAGGTTCACTTTAAATATGTGCTCCTTATAACTCAACCTCCCAGATATAACTCACATGTGCCATGCCTAACTTCTTTCTATCTTAGCAGGTTTATTTTAAGAACTTGATCCATGTGGTTATTTGACAGACAAGTCCAAAATGTGTAGAACCTCTGGCTCCAGGCACAAACTCAGACAGATGCTGAATCTATAGGTACAGAGCAGGGTTTTGTCTTTACTAAGAGAGTCATTTTTTGCTCTACGGTCTTCCAACTAAAGAGTGAGACCCATTCACATTAACCAAGGCCATCAACTCTTTTTGTAGTACCAGGAAAGGAATCCAGGGCCTCTTGCATTCCAGGTATGGCCTCTACCACAGAGGAACACAAAACACGTGACAGACACATATAGATGCATCTGCTTAAATCATTGGATGCTTTAATCCATCTCAATTGACAAAACAATCTGCCACTATCACAACCTCACAACCTCTCAATGGCAGAGGTAATGAGTCAACACTATCAGAAAATGGGGGACAAAAGGCCACTTCTTATAACACAACACATTGGGGTTTTTTTGGGGGGGGGAAGGGGTTCGAGACAGGGTTTCTCTGTAGCTTTTTAGAGCCTGTCCTTGAGCTTGCTCTGTAAACCAGATTGGCCTCAAACTCACAAAAATCTGCTTATCTCTGCTTCCTGCATGCTGGGATTGAAGGTGTGTGCCACCACTGCCCGGCAACACAACACATCTTAAGGGCCTTGCATTCTCTCCATGGCCTGGAATGGTTGGTGGTATTCCAACTAAGTTTTGTCATCTGAGGGATAGTGGGGAGGAGCTTAGGAAGATGCAAGGACTTTTCATCTGGAAGTGTGGAGAGGCAGGGTCAGCTGATCGTTCCTCTGCCACTCTTTGGATCTATCAGGTTTTTACTCCAGTATCTGACTCCTGAGTTTTAATTAATAATAGAACAATATAAGTAATCACTTGGGGGAGGGCGAGTTAAGAGAAGAGAGAGAGAATGGGAGAGGAAAAGAAGAAAAAAAGGAAGGATAAAAAGAACCAGCGAGTCACATGCATTCTTGGTCCTCTCATTATTCACCCTCTCATTAAAAAGAAAAAAAAAAACTTTTGTTCTTCTATGTTCCAGAACAGTTCACTAGGTCTTTCGCAACCCAAATTAGGAACATAGCACACTCCTAAGCTGGTGTTGCCCTCAACATGCTCTCAGGTGGGTTTTTGTTTGCTTGCTTGTTTTGGTTTCTTCGTTTTAAGACAAGGTCTCACTATGTAGCTCTGTCTGTACAGGACCTCACTATGTAGACTAGGTTGGGCTTCAACGCACAGAGATCCACATTCCTCTGCCTCCTGAGTGCTGGGATTAAAGGAGTGCACCACTACACTGGGCTAGCCTTTGCTGCTGTTGTTGTTTAATGAAGTTTTACTTCATATGTAGTCCAGGCTGGTCTTGAAACTGTGACCATCCTCACGGCTACAAAAGTCTTCTTTCGTACTCCTAAATATTTAAAGGCCATTTAAAATATGCTACCTGTGCCATCACATTTACTTACTTCACTGTGTGGCTTAAGCAAGTGACTGCACCTCTGTTTCCTCTTCCCTCCTGCTGAGTTTCATCATCTGCCCTGGTGTGGGGATCCTCTCCTCTACCTGGCTCTTCTCCAGCAGGGGATCTGCCCCAGTGAGGGAAGAGGAGGTTCTAGGGACCTTGTACCCTCAAGAGGCAGAGGCCTCCAAGATCTGCTAAGACCAGAAGTTGGACTAGGAGACATGAGAAAGAGGGAAAGAAACAGGAGCTACCTGCTCAGTTTCCTGTGGTCCCAAGTGAGACTGAGAACCACAAAGGAGGGCACTAGAGTGACAACTGAGACAGAGATTCTTCCTGCAGTGAACAGAATGCTGGGGAGGTCAGGTGCCGGTGCAGGCCTGCAATGTCAGCACTCAATGGTCTCAAGAGAAAGAATCATGAGCTGGAGATTACACAGTGAGACCCTGTCAAAAAAAAAAAAAAAAAGCAAAAGAACAAGATGTTGGGAATTTAGGCATCTCTCCAAAATCCTTTCTGTTTGCTGCACGTGAGTGTGCATGCAGGTGTGTGTCGTGTGTCTGTGGGAACACATATGTGTGAACATACACATGTGTGCCGGTATGTGGGGTATGATCACATGTGAGAACGTATACATGCATGTGAATGTGTACAGGTTGTGGAAGCCTGGATTTGATGTCAGGTGTCTTCTTCCATTGCCCTCCACCTTGTACCGTGGAGTAGGATCTCAAGTGACCCCTGAGTTCACAGATTTGGCTAAACTTGCTAGCTATCTTTCTGTGGAGATCCTGTCTCTGTCTTACACTGGGATTATAGAAGAAGGGGGAAGCAGAGGAAGAGGCTGCAGTTCCAGCTTGGTATTTATGTAGGTGTTGGGAATCCAGACTTCATTCCTAAGTTTGTATAGCCAGAGCTTTACACACTGAGCCAATCCCCAACACTTTGTGAAAAGGGGTGTGGCTTCAGAAAAATGTAGTCTTCAGACGCGGGTCTGGGGAATACCTTTTCGGTTAAGAGTTTTCCTCTCACACTTCCGTTTCTTCATCGCTAAGGTGCGAATAATACTCTGCACTTAAAAGTGATGGGAATGATGCCATGGAGTCATGCACCTTGCAGACCAAGAAGCTCAGCACAGAACTTTTTCTACTCTGCCACACAGTAGTCCTTGAAACTCATCATGTTTATTAGTTCATTTTTTATTGCTGTAAAAAAAAAATCATGACCAAGGCAAGTTAAGAAAGGAACGGTTTTCTTGGTTTACAGTTAAGAGAGGGCTATATGTCCACTACAGCAGGGAAACATGACAGCAGGGAAGCATGACAGCAGGCATCAGATATGGAGGGATATTGCTGAGTCCTAACATCTTCCCCGGGGGAGGGGGTGAAAAGGTGCGATATCAACGGACACAGATGCTGTGAGTCATATAGAAGGTTTACAGCAGACTCATTTTTTTAAACAGTTTGGAAAAACTTACATACCCTCCCAGCACCCAGGTCTTCTGATCCATTGACCGTTGACATTTCATGCTGGTCTCTCATTGGCTAGGCGCGATCAGGACCTCTGACAGCGCCTGTTGCTAGGCACTCAGGAAACACCTCTTGGTCGTTCCTTATTGGTTAGGCACAGATAGGACCTTTGACAGCTCTAGGCAGACTCCAGTTTGGCTCCTTTAGGCCTCGTAGGCCTTAACTTCCTGCAGAGGCTGGAGTAGAACCTGGGGGTTAACATCTTGAACCCCATGTATGAAGCCTGGAGAGCAAACACAAAATGGCTTTTAAACTCCCAAAGCCTGCCTTGTGTGATATAGG